TATATATACTGTATATCCAGGGTGACCAAACCTTTTACACAAAATAAAAATCTATCTGAGGGCTGCGGCCAAATGCAAGAATATAATTCATGAAATACAAATACTTCTTAAGTACAGTCCTTTTATTTGAATGATTCTGTCCTGCTGGAGTGTGACATGATTTGTTTGTGTACAAACTAATACACTATCAGAGTTTTATATATTTATACTTCTCATTCAACCACAGTTAAATTCACTCTGTCTAGGAGGCTCAGTTTAAATGGATAGTTTTTATTTTTTACAACAACAAGCTGCAATGAAAACAAGCAGAAATGAAATAAAAGTAATGACTTTTTACTTCTTGTCTTTTTAAAATATGTAAGAAGTAAAAAGTAGGCTGAAATATAATTACTCAAGTAAAGTACAGATTCCCAAGCATTCTACTTAAGTACAGTAACAAAGTATTTGTACTTAGTTACTTTGCAACTCTGCCTGCAGAGAACTTGTAAAGACTTAGAAAAGAAAAACAGCAGCTCTGCTTAAAAATCCACAAAAAAGACAAAAAGAAGAGATTCTTTAGGAATGAACAAACTGTAACTGTAATTACGAACACCTCTGACACAGATTTATTAAAAGTTAAATAAAGCTTTTTGAAAAATAAATAAAAAAGTCTAAATTTAAATGTGGAACAGTTTCTACTGGTGGTACTCAGGATCCCTCTAGTGGTACCTCCAAGACGTTTTGCTATTAACTCTTCAAATTAAACAAGATAATGAAGCAAAACTGCTGCTGAGGAGATTTAATCTCACGAGTCCCACATGGTCTCCATGGGTTAAAATCTGAAGATCAGTATCTAATATGTTTAAATAAAAAGTAGCAGAGCTTTGGGACTGATCTAACCTTGGTGAATTACAAAAATCACATGAAAACAGAGGAGGAAAAAAGACAAATTCTAATTGTGGGTTCATCGAACCTTTAAAGGTCCGGTTCAGGATGATCAAAGAACAAACGTTTGGTCTGCATTTCTCCAGATGTTTAACCTCTGCATCGATATCAAAGACGTTAAAAAAAACATTTTCCAGSTGAAACTGCTGCATCTTTCTGATAAATACGACATTTCTTCCATCAGCTCCATCTGGTTTTACACTCAACCTTTGTGTCCCGCTGCTCTGAGAGCTTTTTAATCCATCAGATCCGTTTCTACGAGCTTTTCCTGCTTCAAATCAGCTTCCTGGACTCTGAGACAAGTTTGAGTTGTTTATTGAATGTACGTAATAAAGCGGTCCTGAGAAAAGACTGGCGCTGTAACCGTTTGAACAATTTCACGAGCTCGACGGGGGATAAATTTTAAAGATTAAAGTTTGCATTTGAAGCCTGATCTGCGTCAGATTTGTCCAAAACAATTCGTTTYCCCTGTGAAAGTTTTTAAACATAATAGAGAGCATTTTGACAGACAGCAGTTTGGACATCTCGCAGCTAATCTAATTAACGTTCTGACCCATTTCCCAGAATCCTCGGCGGCGGCGGCGGTGAGAACGGACAGGACAGTGTTGACTGTGAAAGCCGAGGAGTCTGTGGTCAGAGACAGCTCGGCGGGGAGCCTGCGGCTGCACAGCTGATGAAACGTGCACTCGTTTGAACGCTGAACCGTGACGCCGAGCACAGATCTCAGAGCTTCAGACACTCTGACACCTTCTGTTTATAACAGAGTTTAAAGGCAGAAGGACATTTATGGCAAAATATGAATGAGCTGAGAGTCATCCCAACACATCCGTCAGAGAGAATATACCTTTAAATGGACAATATATGCTACAGAGGATGTAAGGGGACGTGAGGAAAAAATAACAGATCCTGACTTACWTTTATGAGGCCTTTGTGAGCCCAAAGCAGCCTTTAGGAGAGCGCTACAAATATGGGATAAATCCTGTGCCAGCAGGAATTTAATTTGAATTGCTCAGATTGAATCTAAATGTGCAGAATTTGAAATTTAATGCATTGGTTTGGAAATAAATTTCTCTAAATTGAAACTGAATTTAATGGTTTTAAAGTTCTGTATCTGAATTAATTTGCTTTGAAACTGTATTTTGGT